TGCAACATTTCCACCCGTTTATAATATCAAATACCCATTAACATCGACAGAGTTTAAGATTAATTAGCTTAATTGCACAGAAATGACCCTCGCAAGTTTGTACGTTTAAATTGAATAAAGTAACGATCATTTACATTTTTACTGTAAATTGCCGTTCCCTCGCGCTTCATAATGTAATGTTTATAAAACTCTTCGAGTAATTTTGTATTGCTGTCCGTTTGTCTGTCTGTGTGCACGATAACTTTGTTTAGAAACGTCCAATCGCTTTAAAAATTGATACAAAATACGTACATACGTAGATTTTCGGGCCAAAAAGTTGTAACCCGAAAACGACCTCGAGGATCATTCGGTATTCAGTTTTATTAAATTTTTATAACAGGAATTGGTCGACCACTGCTATTTTTAGCGAAGGAGATTTCGAGTTTAGCACGTCTAATTAGATTGTAAGTCATCTTCACAAAATCAACGGTAGAATAAAATTGGGTTGAAACGAGAAATTAAAACGTTTCTCTTTCGGACAAAGAGTCATTTGCATTGCGCTGTATTGACGGTTTGAGTGGAGTTGGTGGATTTCTTATTAACTGACAACTCCGATTAAAGTTCATGAGGTTATTATTAATTTTTATTTGGTATACAAGTGTGACCAAAGAGTTTTTCTGAATGCTCACATTTAAATTGCCCTCGATTGTCTTTAGATATCTTGCAATAATATTACTGATAATTGGTAACGAATGGCTGATTTGATTATAAAAATATTTGCGAGCGATCGCAAATGTAAGGTCAACAAATATTGGTATGGTCTGTTATCAAACGTACATTAACTAAATAATCACATTATTTACCATATAGATACTGTTTAAGTCATTCAGTAGACAAGATTAAACTGTACCTATTATATCTATATATACACACACAAATAAAACAAGTTAAAAAGTAATCGTAAACGATTTACATAAAGCGCATTTCCACTTGCATTCATTTGCCATTTGTAAGATGCAACTTCTATTAAAATCGTAAAAATCCGGCCACAAATATGAAAGATAGCGTTGCACATGGGCAATCCATTTTTAACGTGCTACTTCAATTTCAGTTTATGAGAAGAATTTCATTTCAATGCTTTTCTAAATAAGAAAGTTGGAACTGCGCATGCGCAAACCTAAATTTTGAAACTAATGTTAGATTTTCCTTTTCGTACTTCCGAGACTAAAGTGACCACTTCACTCCATTATGACAAGTACTGAAGTGTCACTTTTTGTCCCGCCGGGAATAAATTTTGACGAAAATCCCGGAAGGCAATTTCAGTAGGTTGTTCCACATTTTGTATGCGGCACTACTTCTTAAACGCATCGTACTGCTGCTCATATAGTTTTTTGGATTTCGGTGGTATCAATTCTTTACCTAGTTTGGCACTTTTGTCACCCACTACCAAAATTATGACACTAGCAATGACAGTTTCCAAATTATTTTTGTTACCATAGCATAGGAATTGTCGTACCAACGCAACGTTCCTATGGTAACTTGTTAAGTAGCGATTTTTTGAAAGAACGCGTTCTCTAACTCCATACATATTAAGTGTTTCAGTTTCAGAAGTACGAAAAATATCGTATATACCTTGCGACTGAAGTAGTGTTCTTAATCCCTCAGGTAAATTATGGCCCTCCCTTCGGTCGGGCCATAAACTTTACCTTCGGGATTAAAAGTACTACTTCAGTCCCGCGGTATATAATATAGGTACTATTGTTCCAAGCGCCTATGTATCAAATTTCATTTAAATGCTTCCATAGATAAAAAAGTTGGCACTGCGCATGCGCAAAATAAAATTTTGAAACTGGCGCTAGTTTTTCCTTTATTCCAAGTGCCTATGTATCAAATTTCATTCAAATACTTTTATAAGTAAAAAAGTTTGCAATTCGGTTTATAAATGGTCGAGATGCGAAAAGGGCACTGTGAATTCGATTCAACTTTTGGCATTGCGTATTATATGGCTAAAGCTATGCCCATATTGAATTTCATGCAATTCAGTTCATAACTAACGGAGATGTAAAAGCGATCGAACATTTCTAAACAAAGTTATCGTTCACACGGACAGATAGATGGACAGACAGACAAAGGAACAGACGGACAGACCAACAGGCAGACGACAGATGGCAATGCAAAATTATAAACGATCTCTAGGATCGTTAATAAACGGCAAAAGTGTAAAATTATGGAACATGTAAAAAACGGTTTCTTGTTTTTTTTACAATAACTTTTTTTGTAAGTGGCACAGAAAAAATTCCTTCCTTGGTGCAAGCCTCGACACCATAACGAACCAAATAGCGAAAAAAGTAGAACAATAGCTCTTAAGATAAAAAACTAGTAGCGTCGCAAAGTTAGCGGACGGACGGACGGACGGACGAACGGACGGACGGACAAAGTGGCCACAATAGCGCATTTTTTTTTATTTTTGTGGAAATGCGCTAAAAATACAGAGGTCAACAGATAAACGAATATTTAGCACAACCTCTCGTGTCTCGTTTTAACATGAAACCCTGTATAACCTTTACTCAATGCGGAATGCTCCAAGTTTATCACTAATTAATTAGTTTGGTAGAAGGGACTAAAATAAACAATTTCTCCAAATGAATCAGACGCGCTTCGTACTACTTACTTTAGCTGCAGGCGCTCGTAAAGGCCACGTGCCTAGTTCAAATCCTGCAATATTATTATTATCATGTCATTAGTAATCTAATTCAAAAATTGTTAGGTACCTTTAGTAGCTGAGATTGGTATTTTTATAATCATTTCAATTCAAATAGAATCATCACAATTTCTGAAATTTGGTACACTAGCATGATGATGATGGTTGGAATAGTGGAATAGTTTCGCCTTTCCTTTCCTCATATGCAACTGTGGTTCCTCGTTGAAAGAATGAAAGGGAGGAAACTTCATATTCTTGGCATTTTATGAGCTATAAAATATGTCCAATGTACCCCTATCTAGAGCCACAGCAAAAGCTGAAACAACTTCAGATCTCCCAATTCCTTCTACCAAACCGTCAGTGGGAAGGAGTGGCAGTAAACATATTTACGTTTAATAAATGTTGCTATCCAATCCACTAACTTCAGTTCGTTGGCATCATGCCAAACTGACAGTGAGTGCGCTTGCATGATGTTTACCATCAGTCAGAGCTTCACCACTATGGCGTGTGGACGTGCAATAAGGGCAGAACGGCTGAACCGATTGGCACCAAATTTGGTACACATATTCATGGGCATAAAAGGGTGGAATCGCGCATGCACAAGTGTGCGAGTGGTATTTGTGCTAACCACAGCAAATTTTTACCACTAACGCGGTGAGAAATGTAGTAACGCACATCTACGCGTGGCACCGTCGATCGAAAGATGACAGCCGATTTAAAGGGAAATCTGTTGGCTTGCATTCGTTTTAACTGATCAGTTGAACTGACCGTGAGTGAGTGAGTGTCAGGCTGGATCCACATAATACGTGATTCACGGGCGCGTTGTTACCACGTGACCATTAAAAACCAATGAAGATCGCTAAATCTCATAACTCATTGGTTTTAAACCATCACGTGGTAACAACGCGTCCGTGAATCACGAATCATGTGGATCCAGCCTCAAGCTTACTATGTCAGCAGTTATTTAACAACCAAGAATGTTTGCTACATAATAAAATCAGCTAGAACATTTTATCTGATTATTTTTGTCAGAAACGTATTCAGCTGCAACTGTGTTTTTGGGTGGTTACTTCCAGAAACTATACTGATAACTATTTTAAGTTAGGAAAACAACTTCGGCAAAGTTACCCTTAAAAATACACAGATTGAAAAGTATAACTAAATGGCTAAACATGGATCGTTACTTGAATAAATTTGCTATTTCTGACACGTGATAATCAGTAAAGGGGAAGATGATCAGCAAGCCAATTACGATAGCGTTAAAATATATTATTTGGACCTAGAAAGTACTTCCTATTCAGATAAGCAATTCTGTTGTAACTATTAATATGGGATACGAAATATCAAATAATAAAAAATGGTATCAACGTGACAAATTAATGTTCTACATATCACCTTTAATACGGTCCTCCTGTGTAGTCGTTAGTAAATAGGTGTGGTAGGAATCAGATGACCATATCAAACAACAAACATAGTTATTTCTTAACTAGCCAATTTTTAAAGAAAAGTTGGAAGCGGATGATAAACGTGTATACCCGTATATTTTTTGTAAACATATCTTCCCGGTAGTGGATGATCAACCAAGTATCGTCTTTACTTTATATTACCTTACTTTTTTTAAACACTCATTTGTTAAATTCAGTTTCCAAAGTGTGAATATATTGTATATCTCGTCACAAACTGTACAACCAATCAGCGCTGCATTTTGCTATCGTGAATGTAAACAATCGTATTCGTCGAGTGGGATCTCTCCCACACTTCCGCACTGTAAAGGATCTAGTGGGGATGGATAACTGACAGTGATGAGTAACTGCATTCCGTTTCATTTCACTGGCAACGGTCATTCGCTAATGCTAGTATTTAAGTGTTGTCATAGAATAAACAATCTTTTATTCTATGGTGTTGTTGATGAAATATTATAAATGATTATAATAGTATTCTAATTATGTAATCGTTAATGTGCCTCGTGATCGTAGTGTGAATGTGTACCTATATTGTCATTGCGAAACTGCCGTGTTTATTTTGTGGTCTTATTTCCAGGAAGTACAAAAATTCGTAAATCGCTAATAAATTAGCGGGCCTAGATACTTAAAAATCGTTGCCAATCGTTTTGTTTAGACAAATATCCATATAAATTACATACTTGTTAAGTAACGTATTCCAAATTCTTTTGCGCTTTGCAAAAACATGGAAGAACAAACGTATAGCGAATCCGTTATTAGGAATCCCCGGGAAAAGGCAACCCTTTTGTCTATTTTGACGTTAACGTAACTAATCTACAAAGCAACGTGTGTGCTTACTGATAAGGAATCATTTTCAGATACACTTTTCCTACGTTTATTAAAGGTTATCGAAAAACTATAACTGAGGATGACATACAGGAAACATTTTCCAAACATAAATCTTCCCATTATGGGAACAAGGCAATAGAGATCTGGCAAAATGAGGCAAAAAATTCAAAACCGTCCCTGCACAAAGTACTAATTAAGCTGTTAATTTGGGATTATTTGCCAATTGGTATCGCGTACATAGTATTGGAACTGATTGTTAAGTACGAAAACGTTTTTTGCAAAGCACACTGTATAAAGATTCTTTCAGAATGTTGCAATCTGTTCTTCTTGGACAATTAATACTGGTTTATTCGATCCCCGCGAGAAGACATGAAATTTACATTTACGCCGGTGGTGTCATTTTAACTACATTTCTGAATTCACTTATCTGGTATCCGGCACTGATGGGTTCCTACAATACAGCTTTAAAGATGAGAGTAATTTGCGGAAGTCTCGTCTACCAAAAGGTGCTGAAACTTAGTAATAGTTCACTAGAGCGAACCACGCCTGGCATGATCCTTAACTTAATTTCAAATGATATCAACATGTGCGAAAGGCTTATGATTATGTTGGACTACTTATGGATAGCACCTGCACAGACTATTATCACAATATGCCTGATGTATAGAGAATTAGGAGTTTCCTCGTTGCTTGGAATATCGGTTCTAGTCTTGTTTATCCCATTATCTTGTAAGTATCTTTAAATTTCGTTTCTATTTAGCAAAGGGTTTTTTGGGTTGGTACAAATTTATTAAAGTACTTAATGATATACTTTTGTTACAGTTGTCACAGGAAGATTAGCAAAAAGTAATCGAATCAAACTGTCGTTTAAAATTGACCATCGTTTACGTCTAATAAATGAGATTATACAAGGCATACAAGTTATTAAAATGTACGCTTGGGAGAAGGCGTTTACAAAAATGATTTCAGAAATTAGAAGATTGGAGTTGCGTTTTTTAAAAAGACTGCAATATGTCAGAAGTGTACCAACCTACTACGTGGTCGTCTCAAATACTGCACTATTCCTAGCGGTTGTCTCCTCCGTATTTCTTGGTGAGAGTCTAACTGCAAAGTCAGTGTTTATAGTAATAGCGCTATTTTCATTCATCGGAAAGAATTTGGGACTTTTCTTTGTAAACGCTGTGACGTTGCTTAGTGAATTTAATGTCGCAATGAAACGCATTGAAAGATTTTTACTTAGCGAAGAACATAAACCTGTGGAGGTCCGTCTGAAGGAAAATAGCGCAGTAGTGATTAAAAATGGCGGACTGGAATGGAGCAGTGGATTAACAAAGTTGGAGATTGACATAAAGTCGGCCGATCTAACAGCGATCGTTGGCTCGGTGGGCAGTGGAAAAAGTTGTTTACTGAACGTTATCCTGGGCGAAATACCGTTACAAACTGGATGTGTCGTTGTTAATGGTAGAATAAGCTATGCATCACAAGAGCCTTGGATATTTTCATCAACAATCCGCCAAAATATTCTATTCGGTAGCGAGATGAATGAAGCGCGCTACAGTGCCGTGGTTCAGTGTTGTGCGCTTGAACAAGACCTAAAATCATTTCCATATGGAGACATGACGACCCTTGGAGACCATGGAGCTGCACTAAGCGGAGGACAAAAAGCAAGAATTAACTTGGCCCGAGCTGTATATCGAAAGGCGGATATTTACTTATTAGATGACCCACTTTCGGCGGTCGATACCCACGTCGGAAAACAGATTTTCAAAAAGTGTATTCAGGAGTTCCTCCTCGACAAGACAATTATTCTTGTTACGCACCAGCTGCAATATTTAAAACACGTAAACCACATCGCGGTAATGGAAGGTGGATCGGTAGTAATGAAAGGAACAAGAAGTGAACTTGAAAAGTCGGGATTTAACTTTGCAAAATATTTGACTGAGGAGAATAGTCATCCACAGCATCAACCAAAAGATCAAAGTAGTGAACCGAAAGTAAACGACACTGCACTACGGAAACCCGAAATGGTGCAAAATAGGCAAGAGAAAAAACTTATATCGTTATCTACGTACAAAGATTACTTTTTCGCGTCCAAAAGTTGTGTACTTATTTTAGTTGTGCTCTTGGTACTATTTTTGGCAGAACTCACGTCAACTGGATCTCTTTACCTTCTGACTGATTGGTATTCTATTGATCTCAGTCTCACAGTTCTTTACCTAACTAATTATACTTTAAGGGTTAACATGGAGGATTCCAAACAATCTTCAAACATTGAGAACGAACGGAATAATCACATTCTGAAGTATAGTGGGATGACAATTGCTTCTATTGTATTTTCTGTTCTAAGATGCATTACCCTCATTGTCCTCTTTATGCGATCGTCTGAAGTCTTACATGACAAATTGTTTAGTAATGTGGTACACGCTACGATGGATTTCTTCCATTCAACTACCTCTGGAATGATACTTAATCGGTTTTCAAGAGATATGGGTACCGTAGATGAAATGCTTCCAGTTGCCATAGTGATTGCCTCGCGAACGATTTTTAGGATTTTCGGAATTCTTACCATGATATGCTTTGTTAACCCATTGTTTTTAATTCCTACCGTCGTCTTGATGGTGATCTTATATTATTTGAGAAAGTTTTATTTAGCTACCAATTTAAATATATTACGAGCCGAAGGAAATGGTAGGCAAATGCACCTTACCTTCAAAGAGTAACTAAATTTCCCCATTTCAGTGCGTGGACCTCTTTACACCTACATGAACACTACCATTCAGGGATTATCAACGATTAGAGCCTTTGGAATGCAAGATATACTAACGAAACAGTTCCAGCGTCACCAAGACGTCCACGTCAGTGCATTACATATGGCGTATTCGACAACAAGAGCATTTTGTTACTGGGTGGATCTTGTTACGGCTGGATACATTACGGCCCTCACCTTGTATTATGTATTTGTAATCGGTAAGTTAACTAACACTTTTTGTGCGAACTTATGCTTTCAAACTAGACTCCTACGCCGGTAACGTCGGGCTAGTAATATCACAAGCGATGAATTTGATGGCACAACTAACCGTTGCTGTCAAAAATATCACTGATATAGAGAACCATATGATCTCAGTAGAACGAATATTAGAGTACGACTCTATTGGACAAGAAGGACAAGAAAGTTCTCGAAATATGTTACCAGTAACCTGGCCAAGTAGTGGGGAAATTAGGTTTGAGAAGGTGAATGTTAAATACGGAAAAACCGATCCGAATGTTTTAAAGGACTTGACCTTTTCCGTTGAACCTCTGCTCAAAATTGGAATAGTGGGCAGAACTGGCGCCGGAAAATCGTCACTAATTAATGCGCTGTTTCAACTGGTCCACACTGAAGGAAAGATCCTTATTGATAACATAAATATATCGACGATTGGCTTGCATGATTTGCGCAAAAGTATTTCGATCATTCCCCAAAATCCGGTTGTATTTTCGGGAACCCTGAGATACAATTTGGATCCAGCAAATGAGTACCAGGACGAAACACTGTGGAAGGCGTTGGAGGAGGTCGGACTGAAGACATTTGTGCAAAATTTACGATTAGGTATTGTTGTGTGAACTACTTGAGGCGTGTTATCACTGAATAGTTTGCCTACCTAGAAATATCGCAAACTAGTTCCAACTTCAGTTTAGGTCAACTACAGCTGATATGTTTGGCGCGCGCTCTTTTGCGAAACAACAAAATTTTGATCTTGGATGAAGCAACTGCGAATGTCGATCTTGAAACGGATGAGATTATACAGAAAACCATTCGTAGAATATTTTCAAATTGTACAGTACTTACTATCGCCCACCGTTTAAATACAGTTATGGATTCGGATAAAATACTGGTTATAGACTCGGGTGTGGCAGTTGAATATGACCATCCCCATCTATTGTTACAAAACCAAAAGGGAACGTTTTATGGTATGGTTCAACAGACAGAATCAGCAATGATAGAAACGCTCAAGAATGTTGCTTTGGAGGTAACAAATACTATTTGAATAGACGTTAAATTTAAATGTCTGTTCACAGAACTTTGAACGTAGGTTGATAAAAGTGGATACTGAAGCTAAATCCTGACCAGAAGATCCAAGTAGCGTATTAACACCGTTTTTGGTAACCTCGTGAAATGTGTACAATTTGTATAAACTTATTATAGAGTCTTTGGCGAAGAGTTAGTTTTACAAAATAAACTGCAATTTGTAATGCAAAATACAGTAAATAAATGAAATAACTACTTTTTATAACTCATTAGTCATTACGCATTAATTGAAAATAAAGTTTTTTTTAAATGAATTTCAAGGTGTATGTTTAAACAAGGGAGCACTAATTTTAATAACAAAACAGTCATATGATATGCACACACGAACGTATAAATTAAGATGTGATGCTGAATTAACAAATGACACCTACATGGGGGTCGCCATGATGTTAACTCACATGGCGCGAAATTCAAATCAACTAATAAACAAGCATTAACCCAACATTAACCTCACGTTTTCTAAATAAATTACTGTGACACATGTCATTTTCCAAGGCTGCAATAGTCTCAAAACTTGAGCACTAGGAAAATTCCCCTAGAAAATAACTAAAATGTGCACATCATGGCGGCGCCAATGCTAGGGCCATTTCTACCTCTATGCAACTGTTTAATCAGCAGTCCATCTTAATTTATAAGTTCGTGTATGCACATCATTGCGGTAGGTACTTTCTGAAAGTGTCCTATAGCATGGAATCAATTTTACATCAAAACTACCTAAATAAATGCAGGCCCGGGCCCATAGCGGCAGATTTTTAGGGGTGGCAAAAAACCAAATTTGGGAAATAATGACAGTATAACATACAAATAAGATAACCACTTAAGAAACTGAAGTTGAAGTCATGATCGTACTTGGGGGGGGGGGGGGGGGGGGTTAATAACGTCACGTAACCGTTAGATTCTCCGACTTCTCTGAAACACGATTCAGTTTGATGTAATGATGCGGAAATATTAATAAAAAACGAGTAATTTCCCTAAAAACTAACCAGTTATTTGTTTGTAATTCAAACAACAGATATAATATTATACTTTGTTTCAATAACACTTTATAAGTCTCATAAACAATATAAAAAATGTATCTGCTATTAATTCAATCTTGAGTAAATTAGGAGAAAGAAAACCGTATTAACACTTTTCTGTAAAGAGTAAAATATAATTTTGGTTGGGGTATAAAATGATTTTAATTTTAACTGGTTGTCGGCGGGAGGCGGATTTCGAGGCGCAAAATAAGTAGATCCGGCTCTGGATGCAGGAATGTTTTATTGGTTTTGGCAAATTCAAAACGTTCGCAATACGCAAGTGTCTGAATGCGGAAGCAATAGTAGATGATCTAGACATACGGTTGTTTGAATTAGTTGTAATTGTATCATGTTGAAATTTTCATTGTTTCCTGATTGTCCCTCCTGAAAAGTTCATCAAAATTGATTAAAGTACATACTGGGTGTTCATGTATTTATGACGGCCAGTATACATATTTTCCAACTTTCAAGTCGCCTGACAAAGCAAGACCCCACTAAATGATCTGGCTTATCACTCCTTAAATATTAAATTTAAAGATGTAAAAATTTCGAAATGCCGCGCTACCCCTCAGCCAGTCTGCAATTCTGTGCTTCGATATTATTGGCGAAGCATGGGACAAGTTTTCAGCGTGCCTCAAATAGGTACCTACCCAAAAATGTCTACCAGCTCTCCTACTATAATAAATCCACGAGTACTAGCCATGAACCAAAATTCGCATGTCATTTTTGGAACATTACACAAGAATACCAAATTATTATGACGGTCACACGCCTTTTGTTTATTATTAAGGCTAATATAAGCTCCTTTACCGATTGTATATTTACAAATTACAACACATTTTTTAAGTAAAGGTACCAAACCAAGGTTAATGTGTAACGACCGAAAAACAACATCTTGATTCAGAGTTGGCTCAGTGACAAGAATAGTTTTACTGCAGAAGTAAGTACATATTGTGTCTACCTAATTAAAATTAATATTAGACGTGACCTAAAATTTCCACGGCTTTCTTTTAACCAAAATTTTGTTGATCACACCTCAATCTTCTTACCCGCGCATTGTTTTACCTCTATGGATGTCGTATATAAATGCAACACCTAGAAGGCGTTGTTGGAGATGTTTGTCTAAAAACAGAGTCAAAGGTATTGTAAGAGGGGGTGGACCATGTACAGTGTATGCCATATATCGTAACAAGGAAGGAGTCCTAATCATATGGTATTCCGTAAATCTTATTATTCATATGACCATATAAAACATTTCCTCATTTAACAAAAGATAAGACTCATTTTGGTTCAAGGTCTTGCATCCCACAAACAAACACATCTTCGTCGCCTTCTACTCCCGCAAGGCACCATGGGCCAATGGTTTGGTAATGAGTAATCTTTTCTAGTAGAAAAAGCGTATTATCACCTAAATGAATACTTAAACATTTGAAACCTTTTAAAATATTTATTGCATGTTCGTCACAATTTTAGAATGTATCTTTTAATGTGTTTTTTAAATGTGTCGGTTTGTTTTAATATGTTATACATTTTGTAATTTTAGTATTTGTGCTAAGTTTATTGTTTGTATGTATTAGGGACATGGTGTTGCCACCTACTATAAGGTAAAGCAACAACGAATAAATAAATGAAATGAAATGGAACAGTTCCATTTCTTCGGAAGTTGGAGGATAATATGTTTCTGGCAAGACAATGCTCTTCTCCGCACTGCATTGCATACTATCCTCGAGAATGTCAATGCCCGCCCAATGGCCAATCATATCTACTGACAATTCGGCTGTTTAACATGTGCGTGGGACATTAAGAATAAAAGATTGAAGAATCTGTGAATCTTCCACATAGGCTGGGACAACTCCACCACCAATTGCAGGTTGATTGTGGGTTATGCGATAATACTTCAAGACGAATTCGGTTACTTGCTGGAATCGTTGATACGAAAACTTAGAGGGAGAGACAACACATTTGTTTTTCCGTTTGAAATTTAACTATTCGACCTATACGTTGGCCAAAGATTCCAAAACCTTCTTGGTGTTATAATTTCTTATTCAAACGCAATTAAATTTTATTATTATTTGTCATTGTAACTTGTAAGTAATGGTCATCATTCTAGCCGAGTCACGTAAGCATATATGTATAAGTGCTTGTTCACAATGGACATAAGCGTAACAAAAACATAACAGATGCATAATTCATAATGTTGAATAGTAGCAAACCAACGTAGGTGTTCACAATGATTACATAATTTTTATTTTTTTGTAAATGTTTGCGTATGTTTTATGTCCTACCGAAAGGGTACATAAAAAATACATAAAGTTGGGTCGGTTTCAACTTTACGTAGGTTTTATGAAAAATCTAGTGGAATTAGGTGTATTTCTGTTGGGTGCAAAGATGCAGCACTGCGCTGTTGGTTTGACATTTCAGTTACTACGTCTAACGTCGATGACATCTCTTCTGCCAACATAATCTGGTTATTTTTAAATTGGCACACAGTTTTTGGCGCATTATTTCATAGTTTGGTGTTGTTTGGTCCTTCGTGTGTTGTTCTTTGATTATATCCAACACGGCATGGAAAACATATAGACGTCGAATTACTGATTAGTTTGGTGCGATTAAAACCCTAATTGTTTAATAAAGGGGACAAAAGACCTATTAAGGTGATCGAATAATCCTGGTGTATGAAAAAAACCATTCTTCATCATGCAGCTTCATTTCTAGACACGCTTAAATTCTTAAATTCTCCCCTTTTCTCTCGGTCTCGATTTATAGGTCTGACCCACCAACGCCGTTTTTGTTTTGTAACAACTTTGTCTCTCTGTCTTCTTAACAGTAAAAGCAATAAAACTGTTGAAATTTCCATCCATCTCAGTGACACACACATATACACCACAAATAATATTGCTATGTTCTTGACGTTTTGCCGAGTTTAAATTTTGGATTTGCGCCTACGCAGATAATTATAATCTTACGGTCACTGTGAACACTTTCTCCACCTGCGTAAAATTATGTCTTATGTCAATATTATGTTTTATGTATCTGTTATGTTTTTGTAACGCTTATGTCCATTGTGAACAAGCACTAAGTCTATCTATGATTCAAAATCTGGAGATAATAATGCCCTCGAATGGAATGGCAATGTAAAGGTTTATTTAGTATTTTAATTAATATTGATTGGTTAAATGGTACCTATAAATTAGAAGGTAATTACCGTTATTTTACGTTTAGTTTTTTATTCCATTTCATATATTTAGAATTTGGCTTACAAGCTCTTTTTATAGGCAACCTTCTTTACGAAACGCATTTCAGTGTAGAATGCAGCTGGCTACAAATTATTGATTGGAAAATGGAAGTCAATTGTGAAACTAACAATACTCCTCATCCCAGAGAAAATGCCAATCTACTCTCACGCTTCACATTTTCGTAAGTTCCCACACTTTACTTTTTATTTATTACACAATCTGCCGAATGTAGTGTTTGACAATTATTGCTAAACATAGCCCACAGAATACGGTAATAAGGTCTTATGTATTCTGTGACATAGCCCAACGTTTGGCGGTTGTGGCTAACGTACCTACTTCCACCTAACCAGTGGCGTTCAACCGTTAATATATTATGGGGATACATTTTCCTTTTGTTGCGAGTAAATGCTCAAATGTACCATTTCTGCTGCTTTATTATAATTTCTGTAAGAAAATTTAATTCATGTAGGATGCTCAATGACAGGCAACACACAATTTTTTTGTTTTGTGTATCGTCCGTAAGGATTGTATCCAGTAGTTTATTGCACTTTTATTCTAATTACCTTTCCATTATAATTCTTTCAGAATTGACCTAACAAAGTGAAAGTACTGGGTTTATATATTTTTGAAAAACTAGTCAAGGAACGTGCCTTAAAACACTGTTTCTAGAGCTTAGAGGAATATTTAAGATCTCATTTCGATACTACTGTTTAAGTTGCAAATGTTGTTTATTTAAATACTAATTTTATTGTATCACATACTAAATTTCTTGTTATGTTTGTTATTCTCTAACGAAACATGGTGTCTGGCTTGTCTCACACCCAAAACTGGATAATATTCGATCAATTTTAGTTATGTTTTGGCAATGTTTAGTTTATTTTCAGTTTAATTTGGTGAAATGAAATTAGGTTTAATTTATATATTTAGCGCAATCCAACTCCTGTTGGAAGGCGACTTTCTCCGTCCGTCCGGCCGAGGCCTTACCCATTCTTAGAGTTTATAAGATATTTAGCTCGTTCTTTTTGCATTCGGTAGTTTATAGCTCAACCAAGAAAAATCTTGACAATAAGGTAGATGACAAATTTTTTAAAACCAGTTATAACTGTTCGTGTACCTCTACTATTACTTTAAAATATGATATTTCAGCAAAATAAATCATATTACTGCAAATTTATGCAATTTAAATTGTAGATTTTTATTCTAGCGCCAAAACGCTGTTTTGTGTCATTGCGGCGTCTGTGACGTCACAGTCCTGACAATTATAAAAACATCACCCCAGCGTAATTAGTTTAAAAGATTTCGTGATGAATTATAACTACCATAAGTGGTGCCCTACCATGGAGTACACTTTGTCGTGGTGTAGGGCTCAGGAGTCACCTTTTCTGTGGCACAGCTAAGTATCCCAAGCGGGTAAATTTGGTTCCAAGGATGCTGTATCATTCAAATGCTTCATGGAGTAGAGAAATCCAAAACCGTTTTCGACGATTAATCATTAAACGTAATATAGAAAACTATATTGACATGAGTAGCACATTTTTCACGTACGTTAACTTCTGAGGCGTGCGGTAGACGACAATTTGGATAACTTCCGAATGCGATTGAGCCATTTGCCGATAGAGTTTCGAATAATGGGACTAGATCATGACTTGTTAAATGTGATAAAGGAGACTTTATCGACACTAGTACTCCTTTGGACTCTGAGGGGTTGTAAAAGTAGCTTGATGGTAGGGCAAAAAGAATTGTCTTCTTCGTCGACAACTAAGGAAACTGCATAGAGCTTTGCGTGAACCGTATGTTGCGGGCAAATTTTGACTTAACTGTGAATAAGTTGCCAGAGTCTTCTGTTCGACTGCACCCAATGTAAGGTTCCATAAGAGTGCCCGCCATAAAAACTGTTTTTCCAAAAAAAATTATTGTTTTAAGAACAACTTTATAAATTTAGACCCTAGTTTAGACCTTTATCTACAAAATGTTCGTAACAGAAAACTCTTAAAAGTGCACATAGCTTGTTGAATCATCTCCATATGATAGCTTCGATGACCTAAAAACAAAGCATCTTAATTACACATTCCTCTTAAATAACTACATTTCTTTTAAAAAACTAAACTTAACTTAAAAACCTACAAGACTTATGGCAGTTTTTTGATGAACAAAAATCTGTGTTTGATGCAAGAAATATTCCCAACATCATTTCATCAATGTTTGTCAGATTTGCTGCTATCAGCATTCGTATACCACCCACTTTCCATTCTTATTTGGTTTTAAAAACTAAACTTTAGGATAATATAATCACTATAAAATGGAGCAAGCACTAAATTAAAAAACGTAGACAAACTCTACAAACGCACAGAGGATTAGGATAATGACGTCACGCGCTCTGATTGGCGTTTGATATCACGTGACAAATGTCGTTATTTTTTAATTTTATTTTTACTAAAACATAATAGTTTCTCGTGTACATTACCAAAGAAAGTTATTTTGCGATACCCTGACACCTTACTCTATCTCATGAAACAAAAATTTATTTATTCTTTTTCCACTGTCATGTACCCGATTAATGTGCGCATGCAGTCGAAAAAACAGACTTACCATTTAGAACGTAGGTTTCTTTGAAGGCGTTAAGGGGTAGGAATAAAAATTACCTTTAACCTCTGGTTGTAACGGCCTTTTGAGCTCAGAAGGACACTTTTCTGTCTGTTACAGATAACAACACAAACAAACCAACAAGAGGGATAGTGAATAGCGCGGTACATAAATATTTCTAACGCCTGGCGCTAGGGTAAATAATAATCGGTCTTTATTCTTTTGAATTCTTTTGAATTGAACTTAAGTAAGTACACATTTTTTTTAAATTAGATATCTTAAACGGAAAGCTTAAGGTTGAAGAACTCTTTGCCTGAAAGTATGCTTTTATTCTTTTTTGTATATCCCCTCTATCCCCTTACTATCAGGAAATCTTTTTCCAAAATTTCAGAACAATACAATAGCCTCATTTTCGAATAAAATTAGCCAACTATTAACTGTAAGAATTTACTTGTTATAGGTATATTTTGCCATTATTTATGTATGGATACCGCAAAAATATCACCCAAGAAGACGTTTTCCAGCCGCATTCTGAATTAAGGTCCTCGAATTTGGGAAACAACGCAATAGATCTGTGGCAAGAAGAACTTAAGGGTACATACAAACATGGGCGGAAACCCTCACTGCCTAAGTTAATAGTCAAAATGCTGGCAAAGGAATATTTGTCAATCAGTGCTCTCATTGTGATCTGCGAACTACTTGCACGGTAATTGCACCAGTACTACTTCTTCATCATCCATGTGTTCAGTTTTTAGACCACTCCAGGCGTTCTTTTTGGGAGAATTTATTTTGTGTTACTCCGACCCGAACCTAGAACGCAAGCCTTATTTTTACGCGTGTGGTGTCATCGTGTGTGTCTTTTGTAATACGATTTTTCTACATCCCGCAGTTCTCGCGTCACACCACTTGGCATTCAAGATTCGAGTAATCTGCGGCAGTCTTATTTATTCGAAGATATTAAGACTTAGCAAAGAGGCATTAAATCAAAGAACTCCAGGACAAATATTAAACTTAATTTCGAATGATGTGAATATTTTTGATAGAATGGTATTCACATCGCAGTACTTATGGGTTGGACCTCTGCAAACTTTCATTATTTTGGGATTGATGTATAGAGAAGTTGGAGTTGCTTCGTTTTTTGGCTTAGCTCTACTACTCTTATTTATTCCGTTATATTGTAAGTATACATTTTCTAACACTGTTGATCAAATGGCACTACCATTCATTATTTTATCAAAAATTTTTCAGTTGTATTGGGACGATTGGCCTCAAAATTTCGATTAAAAGCTTCCTTGAAGAGAGATCATCGTTTGCGTTTCATGAACGAAATAATACAAGGAATAAATGTCATAAAAATGTACGCTTGGGAAAAATCATTTTCAAAAGTGATCTTCAAATTCAGAAAACTAGAAATAAACTTTATCAAATTAGGACTTTATGTTAAAAGCGTAGCGATCACTTATGACGTATTTATTTCAACCGCGCTGTTTCTCACAATGCTATCCGGTGTGCTTCTAGGCGAAAAACTAAACGCCTCCTCTGTATTTATTGTTACCACCTTATTTTCGACCCTAGGTTTTACCTTAAATTTTTTCTTCCCTCAAGGGATGATATTTTTAAGCGAAATCTTTGTTTCGCTAAACCGCATAAATGACTTCCTTTTGTGTGATGAGGTATTACCAGTAACGCGTAACGTTGGAGCCAAAGGTACTATCGTGATTCAACAAGCTACCTCCAGATGGGAAAAAGATTCCGACCGCAATATTTTGTCAGATATTGATTTCGAGATAGAATGCGAAAGCCTAAACGCTGTAATAGGTTCCGTTGCTAGTGGAAAAACGAGTTTGTTAAATCTTATTTTGGGCGAAATACCATTGGAATCTGGAGCTATAAGTATAAATGGTACTATTAGCTACGCTTCGCAAGATGCTTGGATATTTTCATCAACAATAAAGCAAAATATTCTGTTTGGTAGCAAAATGGACGAATCACGCTACGCCGATGTTATTAAATGTTGCGCTTTGGAAAGAGACTTATCACTCCTTCCGAATGGCGACAAAACAATAGTTGGAGAACGAGGAGCTTCATTGAGTGGCGGACAAAAGGCCAGAATTAATTTGGCTCGCGCCATATACAGAGACGCCGACATTTACTTGTTGGACGATCCGCTTTCGGCAGTCGACACTCGAGTTGGTAAACACATTTTTGAATATTGTATTCGAAGGTTTCTAAAGGGCAAGACAATTTTGCTAATAACTCACCAGTTGCAATATCTAAAACATGTCGACTCAATCATGGTAATGGAAAACGGAACGATTATCACCAAAGGCTCGCAAAGTGACCTCGAAAATTCAGGTTTTGATTTCGTGAGGTTCTTACGAGATAGTGATCAAGTTGACGATATAACCGAAGAGCCTACTGTTCAAAATTCAACCAGTTTCAATCAAGCGAAAGCACCAATCCAAGGGAAACCCACCGGAATCCAAATGATCAGTTATCACACCTACAAAGCCTATTTCTACGCATCGAAAAGTTGGACAATACTATTGATGTGTTTTTCACTATTTGTGTTGGTACAATTGGCGATGAGCAGCGCGTCTTACTTTCTGGCCTACTGGTAACAGTGATTGTAATTGATACCACCATAACTTATCTGTTTGGTTTTAGGGTAAACAAGGAACACGCTGATGGCTTTACGAGTATAATGCAAGAGCAGAGCATTTACGTATATGTGTATAGTACTATTATTCTTGCGTCCCTAATCTTCACCACTTTAAGATCTGTTTCTTTTGTTAATCTAACAACAACATCGGCAAGAATTCTTCATGATAGAATGTTTAGCAACGTCTTGCATGCGACTATCAACTTTTTTAATTTAAATTCATCGGGTGCTATTTTAAATCGTTTTTCAAAGGACTTGGCGACAATCGATGAAATGCTACCAAATGCTGTTATGATTGCTGGGCGTACACTTTTAAGTATAACCGGTGTCTTTTGCGTTATCTGTATAGTAAACCCCTGGTTTATTATCCCTACCTTGTTTGTTTTGATTATATTAAATTATTTAAGAAGGTTCTATTTAGCTACAGATTTAAATGTACTTAGGGTTGAAGGACAAGGTATAGATAGGTTCCTTGTTAAGACATTTTTTCATAATCTAATTTTAGTTCGAGGGCCACTATATGGTTACGTCAATGTGTCTTTACAAGGTTTAAGTACAATTAGAGCATTTAGTGTTCAAAAACTGTTAACAGAAGAATTTTATCGTCATCAAGATATACATAGCAGCGCCCTTGATATGGCTTCTACAGTATCCAGAGCGTTCGCTTATTGGATGGATTTGTTAAACGTCATCTACATCATCGTTATTACGCTATTTTATACATTTAGTGCTGGTATCTTTCGCAATGAAACGTTTAGGGACTTTAATAACGATGTTATTCTTACAGATTCGTTTGGCGTTAATATTGGTCTTACAATATCACAAGCCTTACAGTTGATGACTCAATTGCCATGGGGTGTAAGACAGTCTACAGATGCAGAAAGCTTTATGGTTTCTGTTGAACGAGTCGTTGAATACGATTCGATTTCAAAAGAGCGAGATGGCAAAGGTGCGACCAAAAAGCCTTCGAATTCGTGGCCAGATTTTGGCAAGATAGAGTTTAAAAATGTCTTTCTGCGGTACTCTGATACAGCGCCCTATGTTTTACAAGATTTAAACTTTACTATCCGTCCAATGGAAAAAGTAGGCATTGTGGGTAGAACGGGTGCGGGAAAATCTTCAATAATTGCTGCGTTATTTCAACTGGTAGACAACGAAGGGTTTATTTTTATTGACGGAGTTGATGTCTGCAAAATTGATTTGCCTATTTTGAGGAAAAGGATGTCTATAATTCCTCAAGACCCAGTTCTCTTCACGGGTACTATTAGAAGTAATTTGGATCCTTTCGAAGAATACGGCGATGAAGTGCTTTGGAAGGCGCTGGAGGAAGTAAGACTTAAAGACGTCGTAAACGGTTTACCTTCTGGTACACTTATCACCTTTTACATTTTTGATAGCTAGTGGTTCACGTTACAGGTTTAAACTGTGAGATCTCTCAAGACGGGTCGAACTTCAGTGTAGGTCAACGCCAGCTAATTTGTTTAGCGCGAGCCATCGTTCGAAGCAATAAAATTTTAATTTTGGATGAAGCAACGGCAAACGTAGATCTTGACACCGACACGCTCATTCAGGAAACCATAAGGCACAAGTTTTCAAATTGCACGGTACTCACTGTAGCTCACAGGCTGAATACCATAATTGACTGTGATAAAGTTCTGGTTATGGATAGAGGTTTGGCAGTTGAATTTAATCATCCATACCTGTTACTGCAAAACACGAACGGGTTTTTTTACAATTTGGTTCAACAAACGGAGAAAGTGATGGCCAACACGCTTAATGACATTGCTAGAAGGGTATTATTTCACCTATTGTAATAAGCAGCACCTCACATTTTTTTTAGAGTTACCAAAAGGCACAGCAAGAAGAGTGACCGTAAGGGTTAAAGAAATTTGTGTATTGATAATAAATGTACTTACATACGTAATAAAATAGTGCTTTTCTCAACTTAATCTTTTTTCAAATTGGACCTTTGTCTTATGCCCACTTAAAGACAGTAATCTATTTAGTCACGTGAAGGAAGGTAGTCGGATTGGAGACCTCTTTTTGGTTGTGCACTATGACCTAAATCAATTAACGCTTGACCTTACAACACGGAGTACAAACCACCACCAGCATCCATACGCCATGCGCTTCTACATCTTCCACCATTGCCGCCATGTCGCGACAGGCCAAGCTACCCCGACGTCGGCGGGATATGAAACTTCATCACCCAACGTCGTTGTCATAGGAAATGGAGACCGCATCACCGCCAACAAGCTGGATGAATTCTTCGTAATCCAAGATTACCAACGGAACGAGTTCTATATCTACGCGCTGCCATCTGAAAGAGAGTAGAAAGTTGCAATCAGGGGATTGGCAATCTCCATCACTGCCGACGAGAACATCAAGGGTCGCGGATTCAATCTCACCCATGCCACCAAGATTCAGTATAAGGGAAAGGAGCACGCTTTCTTCGTTACACTGAAGAACCTGCAGGGTGCTTTCAAGGTCTAAGACATCACGGAACTGCTACCGTCTTACGGTATCAGCCGCAAAGTGCTACAGTGTTTCGCGTGCCACAGATTCGACCACTCTAGCGTCAACTGCGGATCTGCACCCTGATGCGTTTCTTGTGCTAAAACCACCTGGCGTCGGACTGCAGGAGGAAGCAAGAATAAAGGGCCACTTACGCAAACTACCCCGGGGCCCATTCCGCAAACTACCGGGGTTGCGCATCCTTCCTTGCCGCAGTTAACAAACGCCACAGACCCCCCGACGAATCATTTTTGCCCACCAAGGCAGCAGCAACCGAGCGGGCAGCCCCATAGCAGACAGTCAGAAAGCGAAGAAAGAGGTCTAAGAAAAAGAAAAGCGCTTCCACGATCACTTGACAACAGCCACTGACCATCACGGCACACCCATCTTATTCAACCGCCCCCGGGATCGCACGCCTACTAACAACATCAATGTCTCCACCAGCAGCACCTGCACCACTCACGCAATTAACCCGCCCCAAGAAACCGGCAACAGCACCATTCGTCAACGACGCCTGCGCATCCAGACACATCACAAACCCCGCCCAGCCACCACAATGCTAATGCGCACTACATCAGACCACACCATCTCTAGGATACGACATCCACCTCCACAAAATCCTGGGATGGATTGAACGACTTGCCGCCGCACACACATTCGAACATAGCATACTGTCCCACTAATGCTGGCGACTTGCAGCGACATTTGCACACCCCACAATGGATAACCCCAGAACAAGGAAGAACACTACCACCCTGCTGCAATAAAACGGTTGATACGCACAAAGAAACTAAAACACATCCTCCGTATTTACAACATTTACATCGCCATGATCGGAGAAACACACTTATACGACAAGATATCTTCTCCCAACCACCCAACGCACATACCAAGCGACCTTCTGTAGCTTTTGACTTATATATTATACGATTTACAGCTAACCATTATGTTTCACTTTACCGTAAATATCAATTAATTGTTAAAGTCGGCCATATTGAGAAGCCTAATTGGATCCCAACAAGCGTACGTTTACTTATATGTATGTAACCCTCCTTCCTTAATCTTTTATTTCAATGGTTTCAATGAGTTGGCTAAGCCATTCTTTAACCGTAAGAAGTGCTCACTTTAACCGTAAGAAGTGCTCACTTTAACCGTAATAGATAAAGTGAAACATGACTGTGCATTCTAATGACATCTGTCATCCTTTTTCAAATGCACGATATAAAATGACGTCTAGAACATATGATAATTCTGTTTCTATAGCAACGATCGCGACTGCACTGAACCTAAGCTTGCTATTTTTGACGTCTCTAAATTAAATTCACAATTATCGGAAGCGTTACACTGATTTATATGGCTTCTGCTATAAAATAAAGTTTTGTATTATACACGACGATAAACGGAAACTAACCACCTCGTGAATATTCGTCAATATCTTTCACTCACTGGTTAAAATATCCCTTTACCGTCTTGTATAAACTATTCTTTGCAATGCTAAAACCATTGAATTTCTAAAACACACACATTCGTTGCATATCTATTTTTAAATTATGAATTTTTAGTAAACTGTAATTTTCTGTATGCACATATGGAAGTCTACACAGTTTACACCGATACGGGGAGTACGCGGGCGCATTTATACACAGTGGTCCGGTCCAGGGCAACTTTCTAACCTGATTTTGAATTGTATTTTTAACAGAATTTTTTTCCGAATAGGGAACATATTGTTATTGATACCACCATCCGCCACCACCATAATTTGATAAGTTTGATCAAATTTGTACAGCACAAAAGAGTTCATTTGATTTTTTCAGTTGAATAAGTGATGCATTTTACAATGGTAGACAGGATATGCTTCATTCCATATAGTTGAATCTAAAGATTATTTGTTTTCCTCCTTGGTCCTAGCTACCTTCGACGTGAAGGTCAATGCTAGTAGTTTTTGCAACTTGAACATATAAAAAAAATAAGTTATCCACGACCGACCTTGAAGGCCTAATAAGTACTTGTACTGTATTCCATAAGTTATCCCTCATTCTGGCTAGACAAAGGAAAGCTACAACTGACAATAGATTGACAATATTATTAAATTTGATCAGTTTTATAGTAGATACTTAACATAAAAACAACCAAAACAAAGCAATGCAGAATGGCGACTATAGCCTCAAGTTCATTAACACGCGATGCAGCTTGCCGTTTCTTGCAACAGTCACCTACTGCTCTAGAAAACATCAGTTTGCTTTGCTAGGGCGAAAGTCAAGATTTCTATAATTAGGTGTTTATTGGATTCCTATTCAAATGTGTTAGTTTATTAATTTATGAAAAACACTCATTCCGTTATGCTAACTTATGTAAATATACGCATACCAATTAAAAAATGTGACATTTTGTTACTCTATTAACCGAGACTGTCTCAGTAATAAAAGCAATTGATCACTCTGTTCGGTATCTAGTTTCTTTAATTAATTTAGGAGGCCTAGGGAAATGTTCCAAACTATTATGATGGTAATTAGTGGTTATCGAGTTAGTTCGCAAAGTGATTAGAACAACCAGTGTGCTTGTGTGTGTACGTGAATATACACGGACCTCGATGGAAAAATAAACATTTAGTGATAATTTTTAAAAAAATGTTATATACACCAAAGTAGGAGAGGAGGTTTCGAAAATCTCGGAAATTAATGCGAAGACGTGGAGTTTTACCGTAGATCAACTTCCCGGTCCTAACATTTATATCATTCCATTACACTATTTAGTATGGAGGATAGTGCCACGCGAAGAATTGGGAATACCCCTAATCCAAAACAGAATGCACATATACTATCGCGTTTAACATTTTTGTAAGTATCTATTGATATAAGTATTTTAAATAATCTTCAAAAATACTGGTTATACCTACTCATCCCACGTGATGAATTAGCATTTTTTCCGCGATAAAGTTAGATTTTACAGTTTTTCTAATTATGTTAGTACAAATTAAGCAATGCTTAACGTTAAGTCAACCCATGACAAAGCTTGTTGCATTGTAACAATCGTTGTCATGGTGTCTCAGTTTGAATTTGACGATAAGAACAGCCATTCCATTTGTGATTTTGTGTCCGGATGAATGAATAAGCACCGATTGTTCAGTTGTTTACTGAAATGCAAGTTTATTTGTTTTTAATGGTGCGGAACAGCTTCACACACGATCGACAATCAGTAAACGGTGTAATGGTCATTTACTCTAGCGTTCACCATCACTTATAGGTACCTAATCACACCTACATCTTAAACCAGATAATTAAGTGCAGTGCTTTATAGATAATTTGGGGACAACGTTCAAAATAAATAAATAAATTATGGTGAATCATGAAAATTCCAGGCACCCGTCTTTCAAAATGTAGTTTTTTGTTTAGAAAAGTCCGATCGCTTTGGAAATTGGTACTCATGTTTTTAAGGATATAAGAAAGGTCGCTATTGTTTTTCAGTTACATAGACTATCGGACCAAGTTACAGACCAAAAACTGTATGTTACAAAGGACATATACATGTCCGGTTTTATTAATTACGCATGGGCAATCCAACTTTTCCATTTGTGGAATCCAATTTTTTTATTTGTTACATGTTACGCCGCATATTATTCAGAAAGTGTACGTTTGCGACACGAGAGAGCTTGCGAGCGAGTGGAGCAAGGTTATTCCGTGTGCATAAGGGTTATTTGCGGCTTTATAGGTTATACGGTTACCATTTCCAATGTCTACGATGGTTGCAAGGATTGCGAAATCTGTGAATTTTTTTAATGTTTTTTTAATTTAATTTTCATAAATGTAAACTATAAATCTACAAAATAAAGGGGAAATATCAAATATTTCGATATCGTATGCGAGTGTTGCAATATCACATTCAGTATAAATAATACAGATCGCAAAAATCCAATTACAGAACACCTGTAACAAAATAAAAAAGTGCTCGTGAAAATGTTTGAGCCATATTTGACAGATCTACGACGTCATCAATAATTTTTTTTAAATAACACCCCTATTTTTTTCACCATAAAGTCTCATTGAAGGCGAGTTTTTTAATATAGGATTTCACCAGTGTTGTGACAGATACTTTTCTTTGAGTATTTAGATAGTAGATACAGATACAGATACACTTAAAAAATTGTATCTAGACATATTTTTAGATATATTTGCGTCAGTGTATCTAGATACAGATACACACACGGAAGTGGAAAAAAAGAAGTTCAGAAGGCCCTGGAACTCAAATTCAAATTAACGTTTGGATTTTGCAATCGTTCACCGACACCCACTCATATACATATAATTATAAATAAATCCCATTTGTGAGTACAAGAATCGTAGTTTGCCGTCTGATAAATAAGAAGAAAGAGAAATGCATTTGGATAAATCGGGTGTATTACGTTACCATAACAACACTAGTATTTATTTTGA